GAGAGTGGAGTGGCCAACACCACGAAGCCATGGAGAAGCAGGGGAGGGATGGTGGCCCTTGGACTAGTGCTGGTCCAAGCCAGGATGCTGGTGGGCTTCTTGGCCAACACTGTGTTAGGCTTGAAGCACATCCCCAGCTGGATTCTCTCCTACAGGGCTTTGCTCACGTGGGAGGGCTGGGCCATACTCCATCCACCTCCTTGGGAGGACAATTTCTCCTCTCCAGGGACAATGGGACAGAGTGAAGCTCCTGAATTTCTCTTAAAGTGAGCAATGGGTTCAAAAAATAAAAGGTATGAAAACAGCAAACCAGCCAAAGTTTCCTCCCCTCAGGAAACTATTTCTACTGGATTCAGGAGGTTGCTTAGAGGGATGAGAGGGAGCCAGCACTGTACACAAGCAGGGCTAAGCCCAGGCAGCCCCCCTCAAAGTCAAGCACAGCCACCACACTGCTCACCTCATCATTCTTCAGGGCCATGAAATAATAGTGAATGTTCTTGTTCCGGGCATATTCCTTCACACGAGCCTTGAACTCCTTGTGATCCAGCACTTCTCCACAGTACTCCAGGACAAAAGTGTTCCTGCAAGAGGAAAAAATCATCACTGCTTGGCCACAAGCAAAAAAACACCAAGAAACAGGACATAAGATGGGTTCTCTGAACACAGCCTGAAGCTTCCTGGTTGCTCTGGGAGTGTAGCTACAATTATTTAATGCCTTAACCTCAGCCAGTTCCAAGTGGGATTTTCTCATGGGAAGGTATCACACAGACAGCCCAGACATGAGACTAAAGCTCCCCTTTGAGCAGGGTTTATTCTGTAAAAGAACAAGACCTTGCAGCACCATGAGGATTAAAATAAGGAGTAGTAAGAGAAGGTGCTGGCTGGTGATTGTCCTCAATTGGAATGGAAAGTCTGCACCTTGCTGGGCTGCTGGGTGAAGTGATGGGTCAACAGAATCATGGAATAGTTTGGGTTTCCAAACCCAACCCAAATGGTTCTGGCTTCCAACCCAAACCATTCCATGAGTCCATAATTCGATTGGACATTTCAATGGACCTTCCAAGCTCATCCAGTCCAACCCCTGCAGGGACAGGGACATCTGCAGCTAAAGCAGGGTGCTCAGAGCCCCCCCAACCTCCCCTGGGATGGTTCCAGGGATGGGGCAGTGACCACCTCTCTGGGCAGCCTGGGCCAGGGGCTCAACACCCTCAGTGTCAAACATCTCTCCCTTCTCTCTAGTCTCAATCTCCCTCTTTGAGTTTCAAGCCAGCCCCCCTTGTCCTGTCCCAACAGTTCCTGCTCAAAAGTCCCTCCCCAGGTTTCTGGCAGGCCCCTGGCAGCCCCCAGGGGGTCTCCCCAGCTGGAGCCTTCTCCTCTCAGCTGCCCCAGCCAGGAGGAGGAGGAGAGAAGGAAGAGAAGGAGGAGAGAAGAAGGAAGAGGAGGAGGAGGAGAGAAGGAAGAGAAGGAGGAGAGAAGAAGGAAGAGGAGGAGGAGGAGAGAAGGAAGAGAAGGAGGAGAGAAGAAGGAAGAGGAGGAGGAGGAGAGAAGGAAGAGAAGGAGGAGAGAAGAAGGAAGAGGAGGAGGAGGAGAGAAGGAAGAGAAGGAGGAGAGAAGAAGGAGTAGTAGTAGGAGGAGAGAAGGAAGAGAAGGAGGAGAGAAGAAGGAAGAGGATGAGGAGGATAGGAGCAAAACCAGAGTGGAAGATCTAACACACAGTCAGTGGATAGGCAGGTGCTGATCACAAAGAGGGACACCTGACAGAGGACAAGGACAGCACACCCAGCTGGAAGAACCTCAGCAAATCCAGTGTCAGTGGAAGCAGGAAAACAGGAGGAACTTTTCCCTTCCCCAGGGAGTCAGACAGCACGAGGACACCCTGTGGGGAGCAAAGGCTTACGATGGCAGGTCTTTGGCAGCTCTCAGCCCCCAGCCTTTCTTCTCAGTGAGGATCACTTCAACATCTGCATGCTGCTTCTTCTGGAAGCGCCTGTTGGAGCAGTAGTCACCATTTGGGCACCTGGATGAACTGAGGGAAGGAAACGGAACAAATCAATTCCCAGCAGGACAACAGCGATGAAAGAAAACAGCTCAGATGGGCAAAGAGATGCCAAGGAACTGTAATAAATTCAGTGTAAAGCTTTCCAACGTGTTTGGCTATAAAAAGCCCAACCATCTGACCACCAACATGCAAATGCAGACCAGTTATTTCTGGCAGGAAGATGAAAGCATTGGGAATGCAAATCCCACCGTGCTTCAATGCTGGACAAGCAAAATGGGAGGCAGTGGCCTCTTCTGCCCAGGTTTTTAGGGGTTCTTCCCTCAAGATATCCCCTCCTCCTATTTCATACCCCAGTAGATGATAAAACACAAAGAGCAGGGCTCCTGCCAGGTCATTCCTCCCCCTCCACCCCTGCCAGGGACAGTCTGTGCCACGGGGTGACTCCCCCCCAAGTGCCTGTCCCCTTCCTCCTGCTCCCACAGAGCAGCAGCTCCCCCTTCTCCCAGCCCCTTCCAGGTGGGAAAAGGAGCCTGCTGAGGCTCTGGGGAGCAGAGAGATGGAAAAGGTGAAACGAGAGGGAATCTGGGTCTCAAGTAGAGCTACATTTGTATTTCTGAGTCCCTCCTACCACACTTAGTGCATCACAGAATCAGAGAAATGTTTGGGTTGGAAGAGACCTTTCAGATCATGGAGTCCAAGAGTCCTCCAGCCCTGCCAGGTCCCCACTGCCCCGTGTCCCTCACCCCACATCGCCACAGCTTGGGAACCCCTCCAGGGGTGGGGACTCCACCACTGCCCTGGGCAGCCTGGCACAGCCCTGGGCAACCCTCCAGGGCAAGAAATTGTCCCTCAGGGCCAACCTCAACCTCCCCTGGGTCTGTATTTTAAAATATGATCTTGTCCTAGCAAATGATGGAGCAGGGTTAAAGCTGAGGAGCAGAAGACTGCAGACTCATGTAGTAGGTTTTCAGAGGAGGTTCCTAAGGCCCAGCTCCCTGCAGAAGACCCAAGGTCAGGTTTCAAAGCTGGTGTGTGGTCTCTCAGGTTCACCCACTCCACACCAGCGGGTGAAAACGGGAGTGCACAGACAGCTCCTTGCCACCACCCAGAACATCTGGATTCCTTTTGGGGGGAGGTCTCAATCTCGTGGCCAACACCACCCCATTTGGGCAGGTCATGAGAAGCTCCTCACCACTCTATCATGAGCAGACGATTGAGACAATCTTCTCCACAGGCCACCTCCCCCTGAGCTCGCTCCTCTTTGGAGAGAGGGGGACACTCGCACAGCATCCGCTTGATGTCCCGGTGGGATTTGTTCTTCTTCCTGAGGAAGACAAGTCATTGAAACACAGGTTAGACAGCACCTGGGGTGAGAAATTCCTCCTCAAGCTCCCTGTTAGAACCAGACATCTGGATCGATCACCTTTGGCCAACCAGGAGAAGGTGCCAGTGGTAGCCAAGGACACTGGGTTTGGTCTGAGCAGGAGGTGGTGACTTCTTGATCACAAGAGATGATTTCTCAGAGAAACATCCCAGGGTATTTTGCTTTTTTCCCTTCTCCTCCATGCCCACAATCCAATTTTATTTCCAGTGCAGGTCCACATGTGTCCATGCACCTACAGAGGAAGGGCTGAAACCCTTTTCTTTGTCATACCATAAACTAATTCCCAGAAAATTCAGCCCTCATTTTGCTCGACGGAGGATTTCTCACCACACAGCACAAGTTCTCAGGTTGAAATTAAAAGGATAAGCTTGGATTAGCCTCCCAGGAAACATCATATTCTGTGCCAGTCTGTAATCCTACAGAAACAGCCCCCAGAGATTCTCTCCAGCTTCAGCTCTCCTGCAACAGTCCAGTTGGTTTCACTGACCCAAAAGCCAGGAGACAAAAAAAATCTGTATTTTAAAATATGAAGCTCTAAAACCTGGGCACAGGCACCATTTTAAATCAGCTTTCTTTTCATAAAGGCAATTGGAATAATAAAGGAATTAATAAAGGAAATTAGCTGCTTAAACCTCTGCTTTACTGTCAAGGTGATGGAAAAGAAGAGAAGAAAACTGCAGTTATAGAAAAGTTGGGGATTAAAGGCAGCTGCTGATGGATATTTTAGTGGCCACGAGGTGATCAGGGAAATGCTTTGGAGTGTGGGTCCAGCCAGACAAAAAAAAGGCATAAGGAACAAAATCTGGATTTGAATAAATAGGTTTTCTCTGTGAATGGGACCAGTATTCAGACTGAATCAATAATACGTTTCATAACTATATATTTTATATCTTCAATGATATTTTAATAGTCATTGATATTATTGATGTATTTTTAAAGGCCGTTTTGACACACAAAAAAAATGTGGCAAAGCCTTGAGCGTTAAGATTCCAACCCAGGTTTAAACTGGCCCATGTGAAGAGTCCCCTCTGGGGGAGCTGCTCTGGGTGCCCTCCCTGCTGTCACCTCCACAGCTCAGAAATCCACTGGTTTATCTGCCAGGGATTGTCTCCTGCTCAACATTCCCATGCAAGAGGGAAAAGGATCACCTGCAGCCCTCTGGTATTTCAAATTCCAGCCTGATAGATGTAAAATAACTCATCTGAGAGGACACAAGAGTGTCCATGAGTAACCAAAGCCTTTGGAATGAGAAGAGAACATTTAATTCATCTCACAAACTGCCCCAGGGACAAGAAGAAGACGTTTGCTTGGTGCTGGTGCCAGAATTCCCACACGTGCACGTCCTGCCTGACACCCAAATCCATGCTGGACAGAGGGGACACTGCAGGACTGAGGGGACAACTCATATAATTGTTAGGGTTGGAAGAGACAACCCTCAAGGAGAAGAAATTGTTCCTCAGGGACAACCTCAGCCTCCCCTGGGGCAACTTGAGGCCCTTTCCTCTTGTCCTGTGGCTTGTTTCTTGTCCCTTTGGGGCAGAGCCCGACCCCCCCCTGGCTCCAGGCTCCTGTCAGGAGCTGTGCAGAGCCAGAAGGTCTCCCCTGAGCCTCCTTTGCTCCAGGCTCAGCACCCCCAGCTCCCTCAGCTGCTCCTCACAAAGCTTGTGATCATCCTGTCCCCACATCCTCCTGCCTTTTGCCTCGGCTCATCACAGGCACCTCTCTGGGGCTGTTTAGAAGAGACCCAGGACAGGTTGGGGGTTTAAACACTTGCCCTGTGTCACCTCCTCTACGAGCAGCTTTGCCAGACATAGGGAACACGAAATCTCTCCTCTCCCTCCAAATTATGTCAATTTGACTATAAAAATAAGCCGTCCAAGAACTAAATTCAAGTTAAAACCTAAAAGTGCAAAGGTTAGGGTTATATGGAAGGAAAAAAAAGGGTAAAGGAATGAGTTACCTCTCTGTCAGGTACACGTTCTCCTCAATGAGGTCAAAGTAACAGGGCATCTTCCCTTGCTTGGCAAACTCCTTCCAGCGCTGGGGGTCCCTGAAGTCATCCATGATGCACAAGCGACCGACCATGGAGGAGTCCTGGGGGGCCGGCTCCCCTTGTTCCCCCTCCCCCTTCAGCTTCTTCTTCTCCCTCCCCTCCCCGTCGCTCTCGGAGTCGCTCTCCAACTCGGGGCGTCTTTTTTTTGGCGGACCTCGTTCTTTCCCATCGTTTTTTTCCAAGGCTTTCACCTCCTCCTTCTTCTCCCCGCCAGGCACCGGCTCCTTGGTGGAGTTGCTGCTGATCTCATGGGCCTGCACCGAGCCCGTTTCCTTCAGCCCGGGGATCTGGCCCTTTGAGGGGCTGGGCACACGGGGCTTGCACTCGGCGTCCCACCGCTCGTCCATCTCGTACTCCTCGTGATCTTCCGTGAGAGAATCTGGGACCTGCCCCTGAACCCGCTCGTAGTGAGCTGCACAAGGCCTGCTGGCAGAGCTCGTGTCCCAGTAACCATTC